ACTTTTTGGTGTGAGTTTTTGTAAACTCTGTTGGATGACACTGTACAATTTATGAGTTACTCGAAGTTCAATGAGGAAACTGACCATGTTGTCCGGGGTGACATCGAAGTTAACATGAAAAAACGAAAGTTATGTCAAAGATTTTGATCGTATGATTTGCCAATTTTCACAATTAACGGTCTCATCGGTTAAAAAGAACAAAATGGGAAGAGTCAGTTTCGACTGACATGGTTATTTAAAAGAGTTCGTTCAAAAGTAAAGAAACGAAATGATCTTGAAAGTTCACGAAAACTGAAAAACACGAAATTCCGACAGAAAATTTTTACTGGTTAGAATCAACCAGAGCCTTGACTGCATAGACAGAAAAAACTGCAGATGGAGAACTTTGACATTCGAAGAAGCGTAATTCCCAACAGGTACAATCATTACTGAGCACAACACCTATCGTGGATCAGAAAGACTGACGGGAGGTATTGCAACCCTTCCCGATCGTGAGGAAGAGGCTTCTTCACGAAGACCCGAGAAACCGGAGGAGTCCGGAGTGGTGACTGAAAAACATTTATTTTAACAAGTTTTAGCTTCGTGTAATGTCTTCAATTGAATTTATTTAACATCGACTTCAGTTTCAGATAATGAGTTTAGGGGAAAGGGTTTATCCATCTCCGAAGGATAGGATAACTTTCTCTACTGAACGAAAACAATAGTAATATACCATCTTTATAGTAATATAGTATCAGCCCTATTTTAGGAGTGACCTCGTGGTCTCGGGATGCTGGGAACCAGCCATGAGCTCACTATTTTTGCATGTAATCAAGTTATTTTGCGCGGTTCGGTCGATAGCCTTTAAAAACTAAGAAATTTGTCGTTCCGATGTTACGAGAACAACATTGAACTGGCTAAAAGCACGTCAAGCTCTATTAAGACGCTAGTCAGTCGTTTTAGAATCTAGCTTTACTCTCCGTCGGTATGTTTTTCCGGGCCACTGTTACATCAGACAAAGTGGACTTCAAATAAATTCAATAGCTCAATACATCTGACCATCAACTCTGAAATTATCTTTTTTAATGTATTAAATAATTCTAAAAAAAACCTAAATTATGAAAGGGCCCTTCCGTTTAGTTACGGTAAGTGCACAAGCTGGATAAGGCCATACCAGCGATATAAAAATGCATATATATCAGCAATGAAGTCATAAATCAGCATTAAATGCATCGTCGTAATGTTAATTTATCTTAGCCGTCCTTCCTCTACAATAGCGCTTATGGAGTTGTCGATCAATTGAACTTTGCGTAGCGATCTGCACCCCCTTATACAAAGTATAGAGCTCCTCAGGAGCGCGAAGCTTATTTTAGTTCTTATTTTGGCCAATCGCTGCATCGTCCGCGTCGCTGTTGGAGCAGCGCCATCGGTGCATCCAAAAATTAGCGGGCAGAAGCTACTCTGCTCTACGTTTAAAATTCTTTGCTGATATTTGGAGTTCTTTAGCGTTTCGTGGTATTTGTATGCATCCTTATGCAGTTTTCGCGATGTTTTGGCATGGGGGTTGAAAATGTTCACATCAAAGAAAGCGCGGCTGAATCGTGAACCCCAGAGTCCGTTTGCCTTAATGTCAAGTCGTGTCTCATCTTCAGTTGTAGTTGAATTGTTGTCAAAGCTTTTGCCTTGCAACGGCTGAAAATTCGGCTCAATCTCGACGTCATGGCAAACCTCGTTCATGAGGTTGGCGAATGTGTCTCTAATTTCATTGTGTCTTATGTGTGTGTAACCACCCTTTGCACAGTGAAGCGCATGTGTCAAGTTAAAATCAGCACCACATGCACACGTGAGTGGGGTTTTGGTTGGTTCCCATCCGTATCTTAAGTAAAAAATATCTCTGAACTCTGTTTATTCAGGTTGAAGTTGTATCTGCTCAGTGGTAGAGCTTTGAGCCAGTGAGAGGCTCCCTTTTTAGAGACCGGGTCGATTGCGTATTTATCTGTTTCATTTAAGGAGTTAATGAGGTTTTTTTTCGATTTGTTTAATCAGTTTTCAATTTTTGATTTTCGTACATATTTTTTCTTGCATTGTTACTGCTGTAATAGGATCTTGAGATTCCAGTACTAGTGATGTTTCCTTAGACCATTCGGTAGCTTTCATGATCGGATGGCAGCTTGATGTTAAGTCCGCCCATTTCAAGGGGTAAGGAAGATATCTCACGGAACTGGGTGTTTAAAGTGCCTTTACCGACTAGGTTAGGTAATAATTGTTCTTCGATAATATTTTCACATGCTTCTAAGTTTTCCATAGTGTTAGGCGTTGTCCTGGCAAGAAATGAAAGCTTTTCTTGAACTCCTTTAGTATAGCAGGCATAAATGTTTTGAGGGGAGCTTTTAGCGATTATTGTTAATTTTTTAAAATTTTGATTTGCTCATTCTATTGAAATTAGAGGAACTTTTTACATTCAGATTCTATTCCTATAACTGCACCAAGCACTTGGGCTCCTGCCTTCATATTGATTCCTGTATTTGCAATGATTTTCTGAGCTTCACCGAGTTTTTCATCTTTGACAATGAGTTGGCATTTAAATGCTTTCACGTGGTAGCCGAAAAATTTACCCAGTGATACAATTTTATCGAGGACGGTTCGTAGATTGCTTAATTTACCGACTGCAATTCCGTCGTCTGCGTACCATTTCTGGGTTACATCGTCTACTGATAAGAGTTTTATGAGGGGTATTATGGCTAGACCGTACATGACCATTGCTAGTGGATCCCCCTGGGTTGTCCCTTCTTGAGAGTAGATTGTTTTTTTTTTGTTAACGAATAGCTTAGATGGATAGGAGTTCTTAGTCGCTGTTAAAAAGGAAGGGCAGGTATTTTCGATGTTTTTTAATGCCAGCTTTCGGTTCAGCGAGTTGAAAGCGTTTTCGGCACCTATCAGTAAAACAGCATCGGCGGAAGTTTTGCTGTTTTGATCTCTTAGCGTGTGGATCGCATAATCAATGCCACTTTTTTGTCCTAGGCAGAGTTGGTAGTTTGAACCCAGCGACATGAGTTCGTTTTTTAGGCATTAAGTTATTGTTCGCCCTATTATCCTACGCATAACTTCTCCTATGCCTATGGGTCTTACCCCTGGATTCTTATCTAAGGGTATTAATCTGCATGCGTTATATCGTTCAATTAGTTCTGGATTTAGTTCTTCTGTGGCCATTTTTTTGGCAATTTTAGCAATTGTTTTTGAAATTTCAACTGATTGTTGCCCATGGTGTGTTAGAATACGTCTCCATTCATTTGCAACGAGGCCAGATGGTCCGTGCGATCCGTGCGTTCTCATGGCTGCCTTCTTGATTTGTTGACCGTTTATTTGATCAAATATCGATGGATGGAAAGGAATTGTTTCGTTTGAGACTGGTGTAATATAGTTCTCACCAATTGGTTTAGATGGTGGGTGTTTCTCTATGAGATTCTGTTCTACTGTCTTACCTTTGACAATCTTGTCGAGCGAAAGAACGCCTTTAGATGTGTCTGTTAGTTTTGCAATTGCGTTTGATGCTTTTCCAGTATTCATTAGTTTGATGAACTGTTGTGCTTCAGTTTCAGTTTTTCTTCTACTTCCTTTCAACAAGCGCATTTGCAGCGCCTTTCCTTCGTTATGTAGTCCATCCAGGTCTCCGTCTTGCCATTGCTTATGTCGCCTTGCTATTGTTTTGGTTAAGGATCCATCAATTTCGGACTTTGTTTTGCACATTATTAAGTTTGGAAAAATCATTGCTGCGTGCATTGCGAAGGTGTTTTTGTTGTTTTCTATTAGGCTGTTCAAAGTTCTATTGAGGGTTTCAATGAAGTTATAACCAGCTTTATTTTTTGACAAGATCAATAAGACCGGTTTCCAGTGGACCACTTGGGTGTATATTTTCCTGGTGGTTTCTATGAGTTCTGGACAGGGGTTTGACCATGGGTCTTGTGTTGTTCTAGGTTCTATAGTGGAAGACTCTCCTGAGTTTTGTGAGTGTGGGGCAGTGGAAGGATGAGGGTGCAGTTGGGGGAGCGTGGTTGTAGCTAGGGTTGGGGGATTGCATTCATGCTTGTCGTCAGCTGAATGAAATTGGGAGGTGCAGCGATGACAACTGAAATCGTCATAGTGATCACTGCTGCGGCTAGGCCGCTGCGTTTTACATGCATGTAGCCTGGGCATGTGAAGCACCAAACACCTCCGCCTCGCAGGCTGCTTTTACAAATAAGGCAGTGTGTTTGAGTAGCCATTTTAGGAAGGACGGCGGTTAAATTATACAGTTAAATTATACAGCGCTCTAGAAGTTTCCATTTACTCGAGTATTGTTTCAATAATCGAGCTGTTTTGGACCGTCAGTTCAGTCAATCCGGTAATTGCCTCAATCAAGCAGGATAAAGGTTCATTGGAACTTCTTGCTTACTTGTGCTTTCAGCACCGAATCGTTGTATTCTCTTTCGGGAACAAAGACAACTCAACTCAATGAACTTACGTAAGCCAATTGCGAAGAGCAATAGGACTCAAGATCGTATTTTCGGCTGTTCTGATTTTCGACTTTTGATTTACAGTTACCGCCAGAAAACAGTATGACGACCAATTCGAAATTATGAAAAATCTACTTTGAACCGAAAATTTCTTCAATATGACCGTTGCACAAAAGCGATGAAATCTCCTGCGATACATTCATATTATAAAATAATCGAATTAAGTTGTGCAAACCTGTGGAGTGCGATTCTTTGCATCCGGGGGTGTAAGATACTGAAAAACTCAAATAGTGTAGACAATTCTATTTGTGCAATAATTGAGGAGGGTAGATTTTAGTTTCTAGATGCTGTAAAAACTGACCGAATTTTTCTCAAATTGTTCACTGATGCAATTGTTTAGCGTTTATATGGCACTATTCAACCCGTGCATGGACCGTCGTATGACGGAGGGCCACTTTTATTGACCTTTTTCTTTAAATGAGTTATCATATCTTCTGTTGTTTCCTTGCTTCAACTGCTTTTGGTTTCAGGCTAGATGCTCGATTTATTTTCAATAATTAGTCGAGGCGGGATAGTGCTGTGGTATTTCCAGCGCGCTGCGGATATCCAAGTTTCGCTCCCGGTCAACTCATTGATCAAATCAGTAATTTTGCAGGTTAAGCTAGCTTTATACTCGCTCGTCTAATGACGAGTTTTACGTTCTAATTAACGAAGTCAACTATCACTTAATTTGGCCGTGCGGTTTTTATAAGTAAAACTAATATAATGCTTAAATTCTATTTTGCCTGCTTGATTGTGGGGGGGGGGGGGGCGTTAGACAGTGCCGAAGTTAGAGAGTGCCGAAAAAGGCGGGAAATATTGGAACGCAATTTAAGAGGCTAGCTTATGGCGGGAAAATTAATAATGACACTTGAAACTTGTTCAGACTCAATTTTGGCGCCAAAATCGATGAGCAAACAAAACTTTCTTTTCTTTTCTCAATTAGTTCACGACAAATAAGTCAGTTTCTTTCATTTTCGGCACTCTTTTCAAATTGTTCAGACTCAATTTTGGCGCCAAAATCGATGAGCAAACAAAACTTTCTTTTCTTTTCTCAATTAGTTCACGACAAATAAGTCAGTTTCTTTCATTTTCGGCACTCTTTAACAAATTTTTGTTTTCGGCACTCTCTTACTTCGGCACTGTCTTACCCAACCGATTGTGGAAGCTTTTAAAAATATATCAGCGAAGGTAGCTCAAGCTACTCTGTCTTATGGCAGAAATGTGAATGGCGCGTGAAATTCAGTTTTCAAAATGAATTTTTAAAATTTGAAGTTAAATGTGTTTTACGGTGATGTTTTTTGTTGCATGGTTCTTGAAAATTTGAAAAAAATAAAGGTTTTCAATAACTTATTAGCAACTGTCTGTTGACTATGTTGTTACTTATTTTTGTTTAGGAGAGAAGTGGAGCACATATCTATGAGGCCCATAAACTTTATTTTAAACTCGATAATGAGTTTGAGCTGATATTTGTCGTAAGTTGTCATTATCCAATGAAATTTGCAACCAGTGTGTATGTTGATTGCTGATGCCTTCGAATGATTAGGTCGGGTATCAGAAAATGCTGCAACTATCATACATTGATAAGTTGCTGGACCAGGTGATGCTGACATTCAGAAACCAGTTCCGGAACCAATTACTTCATAATAAGTTGATGAGCAAGTACGAGTTCACGAATCATTTCCAAGACATCTTGAAAAAGTGTGAAGATGACGTTAGGCTGATTCAAGAGGCGCCTCGCAAAATGCAGTCGTTCGAACAGTCCAACAAATCAAAAAAGACGATAGAGTCTCTAAAAAAGCCAACACCCGAAAAGCCGAAAAGTAAGTAATGGCAGCTCGCAGCGTTGAATTTCTATTCTATTATTCATGCGTTTGCGTTTCTGCTATAACATTAGAGAAAACATAGGTTGATGACGCTGAATTTGATTAAAATGGAAAACTGCCCAGAATTACGCTCGTCAGCTGCGTTCAATCATTAAAAATCAAAAGGCTCCTTGAAATTGAGCAAAAAAACGGCCCAAAATCCAGGATATATATTTTTCTATATAATTACCCTTGTGATAACCAAGGGTATTACAATCGGGTACAAACCGCTTTTCCACAGAGAAATCTACATTTCTAGGGAATCTTTTATCTTTCAAATTTAGATGAAGTTACTATCACTTACGTAGTTATTATTTCAAGCCCGGTTCAGGTTGTAATTTTATTTCGGGTTCGTGGTTTTTGTCCTATTTTCTTTCGATTTATTTTCGTTTTTTGTTAAAATCTGGGTGGGTTTTATTGGTTTACTTTATAAAGCATGGGTTTTGTTCCAATTCTGTTTTTACTGTAACTGAAACTTAACAAATTTGTAAATTTACCATGTCTGATTTTGAGTTTTTTTTTCGTTTTTTTAAATATTCAAAAAGTTTCATTTAATCGACTTAGTCGTTTTATTTTGCGTAATTTCAAGGGCAAAATATATCCGTTTGGGGTTATGTGTTTCAATTGTATGGGTCATAAACACTTTTTTTATTACAACAGTTTTGTTTCCGCCCAACAGGTTTCGACCCAAAGTTTGTCGACTTTGTTGCCGCTCGGTAGTTGATTTTAAGGCTGTTAATGAACTTCATCCGATACAAATATGATTTTTTGTTGTGGCAATTTTTCAACTTTTATCAAGTTAATTTTTCAGATTTTTTTCGACTTGTCTTTTTTTATTCACTATTTAGTCCCGCAATGTGTGATTTGCACCGCAAGTTATGCGAAGCTCCCTTTCGCCTCTGTTTATGTTTTTCTATGAACACTAAAGCCCTTTCTTACGAGATCCTAACACTATAAATGAGTTCATCATCTACATTTGTTACATTTTATGTATAGAACGAATCTAGCTAAAATTGTTAACCTAGACTTATTTTTCCGACCATTTGAAAAAATGGGGAGGAACTTTGTATTCGGGTGTGTTTTAGTTTTCTCTTTTTGTTTTCCACGCAAAATCAGGTACCTCAAATAATTATCGTAATGGGCCGAGTGATATATCTTATAAAAGCCCCTTTTAATTGTGATTCGAACAACATTAAAAATTTCCGAAAAATTTTTCACAGTGTTGAGAAAAACCGGTTTGAAATTTTTGGTCTAATTTCGAATTAGTAAGTGTGAGCGCGTAGGCTTACAATAGCTTATTTAAGCTTTCTTTAAGCTGTGAAAACTTAGTTTTCCTCAAATAAAAGTAGTTATGTGCGCCATTTTGTAAACAAAGATAAAAAATTCCGAAAATTTTGCAAAAATTTTAACATATTTTTGAATTTTTTAAACTTGTTTTTTTTTTCGCTTTTCTAGGCAATTTTATTCGAAAAATGTGTTCTGAATAGCCCTTTTTACTATGACTGTCAAATATGTCTAAGTTCTTATTTTTTCGTTAAGATCTTTTATCACACCATGCAGAAAAAAACGACACTAATTTGAAAAAGTTTTTTTCTTCTAAGACTGTGGTCGGAACATCATGGGCTACTTGCACAGTAACCAGCTATCCTTGTTGATTGTAGTTTTGTTTTGACTTATTTCAAGGTTATTTATGCTACAGAAACGCCGGCAGTGAAAGTGTCTCCTGTTGTACCAGAAGACGAAGCTAAAGAATCTGCATCCGACGTGAACCACAATTTCACCACAAATGGATCTACCGAGTGCGGAGACCTGAGCGAGGAAATACTGAAACGTAATCTGGAGAATCTTCGCAATAAGAAGAATAAACTAAATTCTCCAACTGCTAAAGGAAAAGATTCGGGGTACGAATTTAATTGAGTATTAATGATTATCTGATTTCTTACGTTTCATAAATAACCCCCGCTTATTTTTGTGCCTCAAGGGCTGGCTTTGAAAATAAATTTCCAAGTGGAGAACAAAATTAGTTATCCGAGAATAAAAGTATAAAAACAACAATAGCAGGCTGATGTTCCCTGCAAGATAATTCAAGAAAAAGTCTTTTCAAACAAATTTTTTTCAAAACCGAAAAAAAAATATTAAAGTTTACCGCCACTATTTTTAAGTGAAGGGTGACTGAGTTAGGTGAAAAAAATCTAGAGAGGTAGAAGTAGTAATATTTTTGCTTAAAGAAACTTTGAAATTATAGCTGGATTAAATTGGGATGTCAGCCAATTTCATCTAAATTCATCAAATTTTGTCTAAATTAGTCTGAAAATCGGAAATATTCTGACGGGTTTTTCTCAAAACGAAAACGGTTTTAATATGATACTACACTGGATACCGTACGAGCTTTTTTTAACCTAGTCAATTTGGCTGGAAAAAACTGACCTAAATTCTGTCCTGAACGGTATAAATAATATGAGACAGATTGTGTACAACGGAGATCAATCATTGCATTCATAGCAAATAAAGCGATGAACAGAATGTCTAAACTCGGCAGTTTTGGTGGTTTTATTTAACGCCAATGAGGCGTACGCTTCAGTTTTTAGACGACACCTGAGTGTATGGTCTGGAATTCGAGTTGCCGATATATGGTTGCCTTGCCAATTCGGGAAGTGTATTTTGCGTAGACAATTTTGGGTAGTGGACAAAAGTGTTTGAGTTAAGTTATCAACCGGGGCTAAGTGTTTCAACATGTGGCTTTCTAAACTCATGGATCCAGGGTTAGAAACAAAGAGACTGGTATCGAAGCTGGCAATGCTGATTCAAGGTTCTACTCATACATGTCTTGCGAATGCACAACGTCATGAAGAGATGATTTGAAAAGATTATATTAAAACCGCGCTGTCGCATCGCATACATTTGAAGCATTGTATAATAGAGCACAAGACATTACACATAATGTCAACAACCTCCCTCTATTTTAAGAGGTGTCCTGGATAAGTTTGCATTAAGGCGAGAGATCAATAATTGTCTGGTAGGACAGATAGCGGGCAATGAAATATTCGAGACATGGCGGGCAATGATGCCTGCAAAAGCCCCACTTGGACTTGGTAGGACAGAACTTGCGGTACTACTGCTGATGCATCGGCAGCAGGAGATTTCGTCAGGCTGTGTGCTAACTGCAGTTTAGTCGGGCTCCACACCTGCTTTATAACTGGGTTGCTTAGAATGTCACTTGGGAACCTTATTTCAACTCGTAGTCTGCTGCGATCGCATACAGATTTTGTCGAATACACAACCTCAGATAGAGATTGATTATCTGTAAAAGAAGTGAGTTTTCTAGTGCGGGTAACCTCATAGATAATCTCAAGGCACAAGAAGCTTGAATCAAAGCTATAAGCGCATATGCAAAAAGTTCAGTCGCCAAGGTGCTCCTGGCAACTCTACAAAGTTTCTGAAATTTCCAACAGAGTAAGTAACCAACAGTTCCCATTATCTTTATTAGTCAAAACACCAAAAAACCACCTTGACTGGAATCATTTTCAAGGTTTTTGATGAATGCATCTTAGAGCACCATCAGAATTCACAGCGACACATTTCCCAGGCGAGGAATCACAAGTGAGCCGAACTTACTGTCTCGAGAGTTTTTCTGACTACTTTGTGCAACTCTATTATGTCAGAAACATAACTCTCAGGAAAACGACTTGAAAGCTTACTGGCATCAAACGCACTATCAAGACGACATCAAGTTTAGACCCACAACAGTTCTCCGACCTGTTCACGGAATGATGCCTTTTCAGTTTCAGTTATCTGCTGTGACTTGTGATGTCTTCGTTGTACTGGTATCTTGATCTCTTCAAGCTTCGGTATTTTTTATTCTTATTAACAAGGTAACAGCCTTTCTGCTGAAAAATGTCGAGTCCCAAATAACGGAGAGGGAGTGTTGCTTGGGCACAGGAGGAATTTTGTTAGTAACCACATCGAAGAAAAGTTTATTCCCTGCATAAAAAGTCATCTACATGAACGCAAATAATGCCACAAAAATTAACGTTCTGACAACGCAAGTTGAAAATACATGGTTTAAACTTTGCGTACCTAAAGCCAAACGAGAAAAAAAACTTCTTGTTTTACACCAAATCATTTCCATTACGCGTCTGCTGAACTGTATTCGGGTTCGAGCAGCTTTCGGAGCTTCAACCAACGGGCAGATTGTGGCGGTGGCGTAACGTAAACGGATCTTGTCGAGTTAGTTGGCCATCAAAAATGCGCAATTTTGATGCTCAAAACTCCACATTTCTACCCCTTTTTGACGATAATGCTAAGAACAGTCTCAAAGAATCTCTTCTAGGTGTGGACGAATATTTCACTAAAAAGTCGTATTCTGCATCTTGAAAAACCACCTGCCACTAGTCTAGTTTTCTTGTTTCTCTCATCTTTGGTTATGTAAACTCAGCGCAAAGTTGGCCCTCATCTGCAACTTTTTCAAGCACTATTCTGGTTTTATTCATTTTTCCAATACTTAAGACATCAGATGCTAGGATAGTCACCTTCACTTTGAATTTTGTGCTTCGAATCGACACCTTTGGCAAAGTCTATACACTCGTAAGTCCCCGAAACGTCGGTGCCAGATATTCAACGTTGAATCGGTTTTAGTGATTTCCATAGCACATCCGGTTTTGCTTTACGCTTTCAACGTCAGCTGAGTTCTCGCTGATTGAGTTTTTTCTTGTCGTTTTCGCTGGAGCTTGCCAGCAAAGCTGTCTGTGAGCTTTCGTAGTCTCGTTTTCGGGCTCATGGCTTCCATTGCTTACCATTGTATCAGGCTGCTACTCTTTGCTTCTGTGATCTGAAATCGCCGATTCCTTGCATTCTAACGCAATTTGGTGATATGCGCTAGCAACTCTGATGTGTCGGGTCGCTGGACATGTCTCAACCTAGTCTAGTGGAGACTAACACAATTGTGCCATGTCTGAAGAAAGCTTCGCTGCCTGATTATCCAATCACTCTTCCTGGTCCTTTCCACTTGTTCACGAGATGACGTTTGTAGAAAACGTCATCTGGTTAACAATTGGAAGTTACGATTTCGAGGCAACAGACTCAGATATGCGACAACCTGTTGCGAGCTGGAGACCTTCTCTAAAATGGGCTAAAACCACTGTGGTAGGGAAAGCAGTTTTTCAAGAATACAGAGTTGTGGATGTATGCTGAAAACTTATCTGGTGGTCCGTAAACAGTGACGCACGCACGAAACCCGGGGTTTCACAGTTTCCGCCCGCTTGTCAAAATTCAGACACGCAGCACTCAGTTTAATGAATAAATCAATCAGTTGCTTATAAAATTTGATTATCCTAATTCTGCGAGTTCATGCAAGTTCATAGGGACGACATCGTAACATCGAGTTGCCATCGGTAACGAATCAACGCGTTTTGTTTTTGAACTTCCGAATTTCACACAGATGTTACACTCATCAATATAAAGATTACTTTTGTCGTCCAAAGACCTTTTTGGTAATTTTCGCGAAGCTCGTTCAGAAGAGGTGCAGAGTAGTCACCGAATTGGCGATACAGCTTGTCATTATCTTTTTGGTAATTGTTGTGATAAACTTAGCCTAATTGTTGTGATAAACTTATTAAATAGTTTCAGAGACAGAGATGTCTAACGCAAATCAACCAATTGGAAATGATGAACAGCTTGAGGTATCCGAGGAAGCAAATCTACCGAACCTGAGATACCAAGATCAGACTCCGATACCAAAATCATTATCAAACCCGAAGAGACCAAATGAAGTTATGAGTCCATTAAACGAGCAAGAAAGTAAGAAGCAGAGTATTGACATAGAAGAAGCTGTCGAAAATGCCATCAACACAGCACTCCCAAAAATTCTAAAAAAAAAAAAAAAAAAAAAAAAAAATTCTGGAAAAACTAAAACTTGATTTGAAGAACGAATTGCAGACAGTCATAGGAAATGCAATAAGAGCCGAATGCGCAAACCTTAAGAAAGAAATTTGCGAAGAGCTTAACGACGAAATGAAAAACAGCGAACTCAGAAGTACCTTAAGGACCCTGTGCGAGACTGAACAGCAGGAAACATACAACAGACGTGACAATATTCGAGTACTGGGAATAAACGAAACTAGTAGAGAGCAGCCTGAAGAGACAATCAAGAAGATTATATCCATCTCTAAGGAGATTAATGCAAAGGTAGAGGAAGGCGATATTTCAATTGCTCATCGATTACCAGCCAAAAATGTAGCAGCCCGCCCTATCATTGTGAAGTTCTCCAGGCGCATAGCCAAAGTGGAAATTATGAGGAAAAAAAAAACCTTGCGAGACAAGCCCACCACTGAAAATGTTAAAGTATTTGAAGACATCACCAGAGCACGAGTGAAGTTTCTGAAGCTTATGAAAACTGACAAGCGCATCGCATCAACATGGACCAGAGAGGGCATGATTTTATACACTCTCCAAAATAATGATCAAGTGTATAGATATCAAAATATTTTCCATGCTGCATCAGATCTTGGTTACAGTTACAATGACACCATGAATTGTTTTCGTGACTGATAATGTGAATCCCTCAATTGTGCTTAATAATGAATTATCCCAAATTACCTGTTATAATAATCAATCTGGTCATAAAGCGGATTTCTTTAATTTTTCTGTGCTACACCTAAATATCATGTCTTTAAAACCACACTATGAAAAATTGGAAGCACTTATTTTAAGTCTTGAGTCTCCACCTGATATAATTTGTTTAAGCGAAACATGGCTAAATGAAACAGATGAAGGTAAAATTTACCTGATAAATGGTTATAACCAATGCCTTATGCAAAATCGAAATGGCATGAGAGGAGGAGGAGTGATGGTTCAGGTACATAAAAACTGTAATTTACTGAAACAACGAGATGTCACATTTGAAGAGGCTTTATTCGCGGAGGTCGAAAAAAACAATTACAAATTAAAAATAGCCGTCATCTACAATCCACCAAGAATAAACAAGTTACTCTTTACTGACAAACTTGAACAGTTTCTTGAAGATAATAGCACACATTCTGACCCTTTCATTGTATGTGGCGATTTCAATATAAATACACTGCAAGAAAATCAACTCACCATTAATTACCTGAACGCTATAAACTCGAATGGGTTTGAGTATTTTGCATCAGAACCTACTCGTGTATCATTAACAACATCAACTTGTTTAGATCACTTCATCTATCAAAATATTGCAAATCCCAATTCCACGGTGTTAGAACAAGAAACTATATCAGACCACTATCCAATCCTCTTAGATTGGTCAATAAAGCAATGTAAAAAAGATATATCGATAACATTCCGTGATACATCTTTTCTGAGGAAGGCTTCAAAATGTAGAGAATTTGAAAATGAATTACAGCGTGTGTTAAGTGAACAGGAAGAAATTCTCATGGGTACCGAAGATCCCAGTGAGTCTTTTAATTTATTCAAATGTATCTTTGAAAATGTCCTAGACAAATTCGCTCCGCTAAAGGCAATTTCACCAAGAAGCAAAACTCAGCCACCATGGTTCAACAATGATCTTAAAAATCTGCGAAATAAGCGCAATGCAGCCCATCGAAGATGGAAAAATAATCCTGAAAATCCAGAAACCCTAGTGAATTTTAAAAAGCAAAGACAAAAGTTTGAAAACGCCGTTAAATGCAAGAAAAGAACACATTACATGAATAAATTTAGACATTGCATTGGAGACTCAAGACAAACATATAAGTTACTCAATGAATTAAATTGTAAGAACTTAGCCCAATCAAATATTCCTGTTCTAGATTCATGCCTTCAAGTCCAAGAAAATCCATCTAATAAAGATATTGCTGACAAATTCAATGATTTCTTCACTAACATTGGAGAGAATTTGAAAAAAGAGTTGCCTAAAATAGATCCACCATGCTTACCCAAATTAAATCACTCCATGTTTCTTTTTAAGGTAACAGAACCAGAAATACACCAAATCATCTCTCAATTGGACGATAAATCGACATCTGGGGATGATTACGTCAGTAACTTAATTGTCAAATCTTCTAAAAATGCTGTTGCTCCTTTATTACCAATACTTATTAATGCGTCTTTTTCTAAAGGTGTTTTCCCTTCCGAGCTTCGTAAAGCCAAAATTGTTCCAATCCACAAAGAAAAATCGCGGCGAGATGAAAACAACTATCGGCCAATTTCTTTACTAATAGTTTGGAGCAAAATCTATGAACGCGCAATGCACAACAGATTATATTCTTACTTTGAAAATTTATCCCTTTTATACAACAAACAATTCGGCTTTAGAACCAAACATAGTACAATAGATGCAGTAGCTGAATTGACAGAAAATCTAAGATTGAGAAGTCATACAAATGAAATTTATAGTTTTTTCTTGGATCTTAGGAAAGCCTTTGATACTCTCGATCATCAAATACTACTAAATAAACTGGAATCTTATGGTATAAGAGGAAATTGTAACCGGTGGTTTCAGACCTACTTATTTGAACGGACTCAACGAGTTTTAGTAAATGGACAATTCTCTGATTGGAAGAAAATAACATGCGGTGTTCCTCAAGGCTCGATACTGGGACCTTTGCTTTTCCTAATTTACGTAAATGACCTTCCATCAGCATGCAAATCAGTTGAAGTAACACTGTTTGCAGATGACACCAACCTGACGGCAATTGGTTGCCAAATAACTCAAATTAGAGAAGATATTGGCAAGCTGGATCGTTGGCTTCTCGCCAACAAGTTAATAGTTAATAGTGATAAAACAAATCAAATGAATATAAAAAGTGCTTCCAATTATCGCTTCAAGCTTAATTCTTCTAACATTATACTAAAACCCGTATGCAAATATCTAGGAATTTATATAGATTGTAAGTTATCTTATCAAACTCATATTAATAATGTTAAAATGAGACTCGGTAAACAATGTGGTATTATATCAAAACTGAGGCATTACGTGCCGCTTTCACAATTACTAGAATACTACAGAAGTAATGTTGTTCCTATAATACAATACGGAATTCTGATTTACGGTTGCTGCAGTCGAAGTTCACTGGAGTGTTTATTTCTTTTACAAAAGAAAATAATTAAATTTATGTTCTTTCGAAAGAAAATGTACTCCTGTAATGACATTTTTCTTAAATACAATTTTCTATCGGTTTTCGAATTGCATGTATACGAATTGCTCAAATTTGTTCTGCGCTCAATTAATTCCTTTCATTCAGAGAGTTTCCTTAACAATTTGTTTGTTTTTAATAATCGGCAGAGACAAACAAGAAACTCAAAATACAATTTACTATTAGAACCTCTTTGCAAGAAAAGATTTGAACGTTTTTCTATCCGATATCGTGCTTGCAAGCTTTTTAACTTATTGAGACTGCAAAATATAATTCCTGAAAATATTGAAAGTTTTTCTGAGACAAAAGTAAAAGTGTTTTACCATAATTTCAAAAATACATTTTTGTTGCAAAACGACGAACTAACAAAACTTATCTACGATTTGTAGTACTTTTTCCCTTTTTCCTTTTTTCTTTAAAATGATTATCGTTGGTTAAATGCTACCAGGCAACTGCTCTAGCTTCCGATTCTCGTGCTAAAATATGAAGCTCTAAATCCTTGTAGTTTAGGAGATATGGCCATTTTTACGATTTTTCGAAAAATATTAAACACTTAGTAAAAAAAAAAAGAAAAAGAAAAGAAGAAAAAAAGAAAAAAATTATTTTTCTTAAAAATTATTTTAAAACTCACCTGCGACCGTGAACCTGGTTGTCTTAAGTTAAAGTTGATGGGCTCTTTCAGTAACGCCAACAAAAAATCTTAACTTACGGAAGTAAACCTACTTCAAAACTTTTTTTTTTTTTTTTTTTTTTTTTTTTTTTCAAATTTCGTTTTTTTTTTTTTTTTTTTTTCATTAAATATTAGTGTTAAATCTTTATGTTTGAACAACTTAAGGGTAGACCCTGGAGGACCTTTAGGTCCCGTTGTCTATCCTCTCTAAGTCGCATCATTTAACTTAAATTATAAATATATTCAATGTTGTATTTAATGCTGACTAGAGAAATAAATTCTTTCTTTCTTTCTTTCTTTCTTTCTTTTTGTTTGAAGCACGTTATCATCGCCAATACATCGATCTCAAGTTTACCTGGAAAATTAGAGCGTATAATATGCCCGGAAATCATTACCTCAAATTGGAGCCACTCATTACTGTCTTTCCTTTTCACGAGAGATCGCTCAAGGTCAAGCACGAGTTCAGCAGCTTTCCTTGACTTTATGCCGAGGAACGTCGGCAGAGTTTCCGATATAACCTCACATGCAATTCTGCATTTTATACGGCATTTCCTTAATTGTTCTCGTGCACGCAATGTCTAAAATCGACAATTCCTTGCGTTCTAACGCAAGTTGGTGACATGTGCTAGCAAATGTCAGAAACAGATTTTCGTCGCTACACTCATTCTGGCGTTTCGATGGTAGTTTTTGCGTCGAGTCAGAATGGCGATCTGGGCAATCACGAACATAGTGATTTCAAGATCCACAACATGAGCACAGTGTCATTTTACCTTGTCTATCAAGAGGATTTTTTTCTTGCTGTCGTCGTGGGTCATGATTTTGCCCATTCCCTCTAAAGTTTTTCCGCGGTGGATACACTGCTTGTTCGTCCAGAAAGCAGTTACTTCTTCGCTTTAAGCTAATTGTGAAACAAACGAGGTTTTTTTTTCATAACTGGATCATTGTTTGCACTGCTGTCCTTGACAAGATATGCACGACTGAAAATTCGTCTCAACGAGGCTTTCATAAAACTATAATCGATGGTGTGCGCACATGCATAAATCAATTGTCGCTCAGACTGTTTCAAATTTGTCCCATATTGGAGCTTGCATGCTAAAACCGATTCGGGTAACTTCATCGAAAATCGCTGTATTCTGGAATAAATTGTTCGAAGTCTTGTATATACTCCAGGACAGTTTTTGTTTCATGTTTTACTGCTTCGAATTTCACATAAGCCTCGAAGTGCTGGTCTATGGTTTCTTTAACAAAAACAACCTTCAATTTAGCCAGTATTTTGTTAAGCTCTTTTCTTGCATTTAGTTTTTGTCGAGTTTCCAATGCAATATCTCGTTTTTTTCCCCAGTGAGTTTAAGCACCGCAACAGGCCCATGCTTGGCAGCTTCAAGATCGGTAGCAGTTTCCCAAGCATTAACTTTGTTTTCCCAAATATCGTAAGGCACATCACTCTCCAAATCTTCTTCTGAATAATTCAATACAGTGAAATCCTGCCAATCGACGCCTATCTAACCTGGGAATGCTGATTGAAATTTTTATTCGTATCTGCCGCGCTGCTCGTACCTGAGATATAAGTTTGAGAACTTGGCTATATATGGTTACGCCGTCTGGTTTGTCGGATTTTTTGCCTTCAAGATGTTTGAAAATTTTTCGATTCCCTTATCAATTTGACCACCGTAATAATGCAACCTGATAATGGTAGCTAAAAATCATACCTGTGTAAACAGAAGTACATCAAAAAACTGTGTCTTGTCACTTATAGCTCGGTGGCATCATTATTTCGCTCGTATTTTTTTGTTTGAAATTAAATAGTTTTGCGCTGAAAGTTTTTCTACACTTAGTTTTTTTTGCAATTTCTCGTTGACGGTTCATAACCACTTTTTAATCTCGATGGATACTCTTTATCATAGAGGCATGTATTTTTAATTTGGCCAAAAGAAAGATCTACGCTTTTTAGTCTATTCGTGAAACTAAGTCAATCACGTGGGGTTTTTTGCGGAGTTGAGCTTTTGATTCATTTCTAGCAAGTCGAGACCGAAGGGGAAAGAGGGTCGCGTGTGGCCATATGGAGGCGCCAAAGGAGCTGATAAAGATCTGGACTACAGCAAGCCAAGGTCAGCACGGGGCACGGATGACTCACTCTCGAATGGAGTTAACGGGGAAGCAAATGGAGATGACACCGGGACTACGGTTGGTTGAAATTGACTGACTCTATTTATTGTTGCGGGCGTAAATTTGGGCAATGAAATAAATGGGTACCACTTGCAGTCTTAAAGATATCCCATTACATGATATTTTATGAGCAATCAATCATCCTCTGTGGTTTTAGTTCCTATTGACCAAAATGGCCTTGCCATTCGATTTCGAAGATGCTAATAACATGTCCGTGCTGTGAGGTTTTGTTTTGAAAAAGGGTTCGCGTATGAACGGAACTAATTATCTATCACACTACTGTTTCTGCCGCAGAAGCAAAACTTAGAAGTGATGCTCGAAAGAGCAAACTATATTCAGAGTAATGAACGTAGTGAAGACTCTTGTATAGGTCTTGGTAATTTTTTTTTTCTAGAAAAAGTCTTAAAATGCTGTAATAACTACTGGTGTGCATTCATACATATCAATGCATTTATAAATCATCTTAGGTATATATGCACTTTTTGAGTTGAGTTGAACTTCATCTGTTGAAAGTGACCTTAATAGCACTCTCCAAATACAAACGTGGAAATGGCGCGAAAAAACGTCAACGATTTCTAGTTGCAAAAGTGGAATTTAATTTTTAGATATCCAGCGGAATAAAAACTTTACCTATTGATCCAGTTTTCTCAAGTTGGGTTTATGTTATCAAAAAAGCGCCAATTGTTCTAGAATTTCAACGAGCTTAAAGGGCATCTGTTTTTTTCCTGGAAATTCAAAAGTTGAGATTTTTTCAATAAAGTCTGTTTTTTTTCTGTTTACTTGCGTTCATTACTTTTTTCCAACGGTCAGTTGGCTATGTTTTGATTTTATCTTTACAAAATTGATTCGGGTCCGATCGAAAACAATCATTTGGCAATCGTATAATTTAAATCACTTAATTATTATCACTTATTATTAATGCCGTTATTACGAGTTATTGTTTCATATATCTTGTCCATTCAGCATCAACTGAGTGCCCTGAATATTTTGTAAGAACATAATTTGTGAATTTGTGTCAGTGTGTCCAGTACAATACAAATCATGACTGCGATGCATTTAGATGGATTAGTTGTTTGAACAACTAAAGCTACTTGACTGTTCAAAGCAACTGAAATTCCATTGAATGATGTTTGAGCAATCATAATGAACTCAGAATTCATACAGAGATTTTATTGCGGGTTTTGTTAGATTCATCGGTTTCATGAACTTGGCCGCTTAGGATAAAACGGTATTAGCTATTTGGTTTTTATCTTTCACAAAGGTGGAAGATTTTGATGAAAAGTAGCGTTTTTCAGCGAGTAATGCTGCTTCAAGTTAGTATGTATCGGCGCTGTAGGAGCTTACTAATGTCTGATTTTTCAAGTGAGGACTTTCCTTTCTAGGCGATCAATCAAAGATATGGATTTTTGAGGCGACTGTAATAGTGTCCACCCCCCCCCCCCCCCCCCCCCCCCCCCTATCCTCCCCACCCCCACATCTGTTGAAAAATGCTCCAAATTAGTTCATCGGCGAAAAAATAAATGAGTTTACTTAAAACCCAGGTGTATCATTTGATAACAAAAGGTAGTTCATTTATTGTTTCTGTGATTATTATTATCTTCGGCTTGTAGTTTTTAGGCATCTATGGTTGATGACAACAGTTTTGAATTTGACTCGATTTTACAGAAATCTTTAACTTTAGAACTCCTCGCATGTCGCAGTGGGATCCATGAGGGGTCAGTTGAAAGACTTGGACACTGAAGTTGATGAGTTTTCCGACAGCGACAGGGGAGAAGGGAGCGAAGACGAGGCTGACTCGGGTAGCATGGAACCCAGTGGCGACAGTAAAAGGTCAGATGCGCTATATAGTTGGTTTATTGTTTGGCCGTTTTTTTAAGCGCTTTGAGTTAGCTTTTGCAATTGTTTTGCTGTGTACAGTTAGTTAATTGATCTGTTTATGCCAAAAAACGGCAGTTTAAAAAATGCAAAATGCAAACTTTTTTTAAATGGTCAAAACTGTATTGTTCAAAACTCGAATGACAGTCGATATGCAAAAACTGTGATGTTCAAAACTCGAATGACAGTCGATAAGCAACTAAGTTTTCCTAGCTCGAGTTTTTTTTTTATTTGAGATTTAGAAATTTGGATTGTTTCGTTTTATGTTCGAGCACGCTACTTTCCTTGATAATTTATTCTTTTCTTTTATTTGAAAATAATCCATTAAACGCTCAATGCATATTTAGACCTCAACCTTCGGCATCTTCGAAATCGAGTGGAGGGGGTCTTTTTGGAGTGTTCAAGGGCTTAGTGGGAAGCAAAACGCTCAACGAGGAGACACTGGAAGCACCTCTAGAAAAGATGCGAGAACATCTCATAGGTACGTAGAGGGGAGTACCTTCCCTATTTACACAAGTTATATTACGAGTTCAATTTTCCGACTCAGCTGACGTAAGTTCGTGCTCAGCAAAAGTTCTGAGCTTCACTATATGTTTATTGCTGTACTTCTATTTCTATTTGGCTGTTTAATAGCATGTGTTTTGTCCGCTTTATTGATAGCTTTGGTATTCGGAAGTAAGCAAGGTGCTATGGTGCAGCTGTGAGAAATTCTGCGCCTTAACTCTGGAGTACGGTGCTTTGAAGCTGTTTTTTTTTTCATAAACAAATTGTTCATGAACTAAAGAAAAGGCAAATTTGTTCTTTTTCTCAAATAGTATTTATATTTTACGAAAAAAAGTTCGAAACTGGAATAAATTAAGTTTCTGTTTCCTTGAGTTCATTAAGAATTTCCCAAGTGTTTTTCGTCATGTTTATTACAGTGAAGTGTACGCGGAGTATTTTCTAGGGAAGAACGTGGCTTCTGAGGTTGCGGATGCTCTGTGTAGTTCAGTGGGACTGAAGTTGCAAGGCAAGACAGTGGGCTCATTCAGCAGTGAGTTTTCTAATTGGTTTCGGTTTAGTCCAGAAAAAGGCTTCTAGTTAATTGCTTGCAATCAGATTACTCTTGCAGCCTTAGGACCAGATGGCCACATTTTCGCTAGAACTGCTAGCCGCTGTTCCGATGTCTTTTTAAAAAAATTATTTATGTTTTTTTTGTTTGAAGTAAAATCAGATACCTTAAAAAAATTTTATAGGCAAGGATTTGAACGAATCTTTTGTTTTATTTTGCAGCAATTGCGAGCAGTGTCCGCTCTGCAATGGAGGAGTCCCTGACTACGATTCTGTCTCCGAAGCAGCGGATCGACATGTTGAGAGATGCACAGGCCAGATCCGGAGGTCCCAATGGAAGACCATATGTGGTCACTTTCTGTGGGGTGAATGGAGTTGGAAAGTCTACCAATCTCGCCAAGGTATGCTTCATGTTAAAATGCAGAATTGGTATTTTTCATCTTAAAAAGTTCTAAATTTGCGGCAATTACCTCAAACTTCAATTAGGCAGAAACAAAAACAGCCGCGTTGCTCAAAAAACTAAATGCCAACTTGAAGACTAGCTGTATCTTCAAGTCGGCAGCTAGTTTTTTAGAGCGATGCATTGTTTTTGTTCGCTTTGTATGTGAAGTGAAAATTTGTCAGTATCAAAATGAAGCTACCTTATTGTGCTAATTTTTCTGCGCAATCGGTAAAATTGAATCACAATTTGAGAAACAATAAGAAATACAGCCAATCCATTAAGACAAAATTAGATTTTTTAGTATTTCATAGGACTGTTAAATAGTGTCTCGCGTGTGTTCAGATCTGTTTCTGGCTGATTGAGAACGGCCTGCGGGTGCTAATCGCCGGCTGTGACACATTCCGAGCAGGGGCAGTGGAACAGCTGAAGACCCACTGCAGAGCACTCAACTCCCTCCATCCCCCTAAGAATGGAACAGGGGTGATGGTCCAACTGTATGAGAAAGGATATGGAAAAGATGCCGCTAGTATTGCACAAGAAGCTATCAACTATGGTAAGGAATCTTGGTTTGCAAGAGTTATAGTCTATTTTAACAGTTCTTGTTGAAACATACTTTTTTCATGCCTATTTAAAATTTTATTTTTGATACATTATATTTGAGCTACTGTGCCAAAAGCTTTGTTACGTGTGACGGAAAAACATAGTTTTGGCTAATGTGGTTTTTTGAATATTTCATAAAAGTGAAGACGATATTATTGATGTTTAAGCCCGATGCAATAAAATTGTCTCATTCAGCAGATGTGGATATTATACTTTCAAATATTTTCTGAGGTTCGCAGGCAAACAAACTCAGGCAGTTTAAGTTCGATAGCACTGATTCATCTCAACTAAATTCAAGAAAAACTTCTGAGACCTTAATTATGATGAAGTTTCGTATTTCATTATTGGACTTTGATGAGCCGTTTCATCTTAAAATTATGATTTATGAAAACTGAATTTAAGATTGAGAATTTCAGCTAAGAGTACGAAGTTCGACGTTGTGTTGGTGGACACAGCCGGGAGGATGCAGGACAATGAGCCCCTGATGAGAGCACTGGCTAAGCTGATCAGTGTGAACAATCCAGACTTGGTTCTGTTTGTGGGGGAAGCACTAGTGGGCAATGAGGCCACTGATCAGCTCATGAAGTTCAACAGGGCATTGGCTGACCATGCACCTGTCAATCAAAATGGAGTCAACGCAGGTATGTCGCATCACTAAATCAAATGTATCAATTAATCTTTCACCATACTTTTTCTATCGTTTTAAAAAATAATAAACTAAGAAATAAGAAATTGCTTTAGCAGGCCTTGTTTTTAGCGTTAATTGTCCTTGTAATAAGCAAGGGTATTGCAATCGGGTAGTAGAATTTTTTCCCGTAAATAATTTTGGTCACATAATGGTCAAATTGTAATCAGCATGGTTAATTATTTAGCATCGTTAATCAATATCATGGTTACTGTATTGGCCTTGTGTTTACGGTAAGAGTTGCTTGAATGATTTTTATCAGATTTGAAGTTTTTCGGTAGATTTTCGGCTCTGAGATATGAAGAATATAAATCACCCTCTTAAGCCTTTCGCAGTACAAATAGAAAAATTACACAATCAAGTATCCAGCGCATCTCGCGTATAGGTAACACATATTTTTGAGACGACAAATGCTTGTGGTTCCAGTTCAGCCGGATTCTGTTTTTTTAACCTAGGAATGTTCTGTTTTTTCTTGCAAATCGTCAGTCTTTTTTTCGGCTATTTTCCAGTTGCACGGACACTTTTTGAACATTCAGCTTCCTCAAATTTTTGAAGGACACTAGTGGAAGTAATTGAGCTCTAATTTTTAAAGAGTAATGAACGTAGTGAAGACTCTTTTATTGGTCTTGCTGATTTTTTTTTCAGGAAATTTCCATTCAGGGCATTTACATTGTTAAAAGAAGGCAAACACCACTATTGAACTGCAAAAGTGTAAAGGTCGCGCAAAACTTGATCAAATTCTAGCTTCGAAAATGGAAATTAATTATCAGATTTTTCAGCGAAATAAAAGTTTAACGCATTGATCCAGTTTTCTCAAATTGGGTTAAAGTTAGCAAAAAAAAGTGTCCGTAATAAATTGTTCTACAAATTCAAAGAGCTTTAATGCCATCTATTTTTTTCTTCAAAATTCAAAAGTTGAAGTCTCTTCAAAAAACAAGTCAGTTGTTTTCAGTTTCCCTGCGTTCATTACTCGTTTCCAACTGTTAGTTGGCTATGTTTTTAAGTTCACGGCTTTCGTCCCAATTTCTGTCTGCGAGTTTTTTTGTGCTGTTTGTGTTGTATTCGAAAAATTGTGCTTTATGGTTGTCGACTTAAACTATGTCGGCTTGTTTCCGAATTGGGTTTTCCATTCAATACGTATAAAGCACTCGTGGCACTTTAACCAGTATCTTTCTGTTGATTTTCAGCTAATTGGCTGTCGTGTCGGTTATAATTTTGTCGGATTTTCTACCTAATATTTTGTTTCTTACAAATTTTCGGTTTGGTTTTAAAGATCGATAAGACTCCGGCTCTATATTTTCGAATTCTCAATATCAACTTCACCAGGTTCCCTTGAAAAAACTTGAAATTTAATAATGAAAAAACTTTTTCCATGTATCCGTTCATTAATAGTAATTCACAACAGGTTGGATGGTCTCCGGATTTTTATACCTGTTTCAGCAAGGACAATAGACGCCATAGTGCTGACTAAATTCGACACAATCGACGACAAAGTGGGCGCCTGTGTGTCGATGACTCACTCCACTGGCCAGCCTATCTTATTCGTGGGAACAGGACAGACATACACTGACCTGAAAGTTCTGAATGTAAATGCTGTGGTCAATGCACTGCTGCGAAACTGAGAGGCCTTGAACTCAATTTGAAATGAAATAGTACTTTCCTACGGACGAAATCCTGAGGAAAAGGATTGAATAGTAAAATAAAGGAGGACCCTATTTCTCAGAATCTGAAATATGCGGAGAAAAAGAGAGAGTTGTATCGTTAGAAATCAGAAAATTATAATTGAAATTATCCTTAGGACAAAGCTTAGAATATTCAAAACCATTAATACATTTGGGAGTGGTGCATTCAGAAGCAGAAACAAAATAACAGCAAAAATGACCCTATTTTGGGTTCGATGTGCAGTATACTTATTTATTAATAGAAGTATGAAACTAAACGATCAAAGCTGCAATGGAATCAGCAATCTCTAATCCCTGTCAAAATGTTTAGAAACTGAGTGCATTATATAAATTCTAGTTATCGAGATTTATTATCATTACTAGCAGAATGAACCTTGAAGGTCAACGAATTTTAAAATCTGTGACATCAAAATACGTCTTGGTTGAAAATATTGTCTTCTGATTTTTTCATATCTAAATAAATGATACAATAAGTGCTAAATATTCAATTCTAAATTTGACCTGTTTTTGTCTGTTTTGATCCATCGATATCGGTGGCTGGAGAATTTATTATGTAACAGCTGGTATAGTTTCGATATAATGGTGATTGATTTACGTAGTGAAAAACAAAATTAATAGAAAAATACTGTTGTTTAATTCTCCAAGATTCACTGCGTACGTTGCAGCTGTTGGGAGGTTTTCATATAAAACATACCTATATATAAAGTATTCCTGGAATGAACAATTTTGTTCATGTTATTCCGAGGTAGCTGAGTTTCACTGGTCATTTGTCGACGTTTCGACTCCTTATGGTAAAGTTAATTTTATCTTTCATGATACCAAAAAGCCAATAACAAAACGACAGATTAGATTCGAGTGTATGCATTTGTTCTGACTCAGAACTTACCTTCAAACTCAGACTAATCAAATGTTAGATTCTCTATAAAGAGTCTGAAAGAACACTCGTGAAGTCGAAATGGCGTCAACTGATCCACTGCGAATGTTGCTATGTACAATGTGTTTATTGTTATTGCTTTTATGGGTTTTCCTTTAATGTCGAAAATTATATTGTGCTTAATTGTAAATTTTTACTATTATATGATTCATTTGCTCCTATGTTGCATCCCAAATAAATTCGGTTTCCCTTCTTCGAAAAAAACACGGAGTGGGAAAAGTTAAAGATTAAGCTCAACCTGAGTCATGGTGGTACTAGTACTGATCCGAACTAAGATTTAAAGGATGAACGTATCAAAGTGATAGAATCAATGCAGGTTAAAGGAAGCTTATCATCACTAAAAGACGATTAGAGAAACCGTTTCCTTATTTTTAGGCTAGTTCACTCCGTTATTGTTCCACGTAGGAAACTGCTAGCTTTAGAAAAATATAAAAATAATATATCAAAAAACTTTCAGATAATATAGTCAGTTTCATAATTCTAACTCGAATAAACCAGAAGAGATTATTTGTTGTTCATAATGGCCTCAGCAGTGCACAGAAAGAGGCCAGGAGCAGGAGGGAAGAAGCAACGAGCGGCTAGACAGACCAGTAATGTGTTTGCCATGTTTGAGCAGACTCAAATCCACGAGTTCAAAGAGGCATTTAACATGATAGATACAAACAAAGATGGATTCATTACTGCTGAGGATTTGAGAGAGATTTATGGAAACCTTGGAAAAGATGTTAGTATCGAGTAATAATCGTTGTCGTGCTTTCATGTTTCATTTTTTGGCGCGCGATCCCTTTTTCGTGGGTTTCATAGTCGGGTTTAATGAGTTTTTCCATCGAAGAGTAAGCTTATGATTTTCGAAGCAACACAAAATTCATCGAACAAGATTTAGCGGAGCTGCTATTTTGAAAAAACAATTAATACAGTTCCTCAGTAATCTAATCACAATAGAATATTAGAAATCTCCTGTCAACAGAATCGCATACTTATGCTTAAAACCAAATGCGCTCTTGTTCAATCTCTCCCACAAGTATACTCTTTCTAAATGATCTCTCTCCCCCTTATTAAGTAGAAGTTCGGAAGTTTGTTTTTCGAAGAGATTCTTTCAATTATTGGCCTAAAAATATTGGCAGCTCGGTTGTTCTACAAAATGGACCTGCCCATTAATGTAGTGATAATTTATAAAAGCTATATGCCCTTAGGTGTCGGATGAATTTCTGGCCTCTCTGCTGTCGGAGGCCAGTGGTGCCCAGATGAACTTCACCATGTTCCTCACTCTATTTGGAGAGAAATTGCAAGGCACAGACCAGAAACATGTGATACAGAACGCATTCGCATGCTTCGACGAGGAAGGTCAGTCAAGTGATTTTAATATGCAACTGAACTGAGCACAATGAAGACACTTGCTGAGCTTTGCCATCGTTTGTTTTTGTTCAAGAAAATTTACAATTCGTGAATTTGTAATTTTTTTAATCAGTAATCTCAGTATTTCGCGTCTTAATTGAGCGCAAAATTAAACATTTAATTTTGCAAGTTACTTGTAAACGCAAAAGTTTTCTGCACACAATCAAACAGTTTGCATTTTGCTAATGTGCCAACATAGCATAGATTTCCTCTTATTAACTGGTCTTGTACTCATTTGGATATTCAGACCTAATTAACATCTCCCCACCTAAAGTGTTTTAGTGTGAATGGGGATGTTAACTTGGCTCTAAGTTTCAGCTAATTTAATCAAATTCTTTTCACGTACAGTCAATTTTAAAATCCAAATCAAATAGGGAATGGATGATCTTACTTTTGTCTATTCACGGGGGAGGATGTTATTTTGATCCAGCTGTTCAAGGCGCGAACAATGATGTATCTTTTCTATTTAATCGGCGTTTATCTGTGTCCAGGAACTGGTCTAATCCACGAAGACAAACTGAAAGAAGCCTTGATGACGATGGGGGAGAGATTTAGTGAGGAAATGTGTGATGAGATCCTCCGGGATGCACCTGTAGATGAGAACGGGTACCTCAAGTACAATGAGTTCGCAGAGATTCTCAAGTCGGGATCCAAAGATAAGGACGAGTTGTAAACTACATTAAGATTATGTCATCCATCGGCTGTTGCATAATGAGTAATGTTAAATAAAAAATGGTTTCTTCCGTAATGTGACTTCAAAATTGGCACCGGGCCGTAGATTGAGTTTGAGATTGTCGCTTTCTTAAAGTTCATCGAGTATCCAATCAAGAATCAAGACCTGTAACGGAAGAAACTGTTGTAATTTGCTACGGCGTTTAACTCTTGTAACGGCCTCTAATTTAGTTATAATATCAAAATTGTTGCCTCGATTTAATTTAAACATCTCGTATACATGATTAAATTACTGGTGCACTTGAAGTGCAGAGCTAAGATTGTTCAATAGTTTTATAAAATTTTGACTGATGTTCACCAAATTTTTGTTATTAAAGACTTTTCTAATCAATTCTTTTTGGCTTCTTTTTCTTTAATCGATTCGTTAGATGAGAGTTGAATATTTGGGAAATATTAATGAACGAAGTGCGTTTTAGCTTCGTTGGTTTGGGTTTTCTTCATGCTTGACTAAAGTACTTAGTTCCGGTGGCGTCTTATATGAAAGATTAAACGAATGTTGGAAAGTTATTGTTTGCTAATCAGAATAGAGCATTCAAAAATCTAAGGGGGGCGCTGGTGAATGTATCCGCCTCTCCGTCGGATGGAGGCCCTCAATGATCCGTGCTCATTGTTAGCGGGTGACGCAGCTTTACCCATCCCAGAAAAATAGCCGAAAAAACTGCATTTAATGAAGAGTGATGAACGTAGTGAAGACTTTTATATAGGTCTTATTGTTTTTTTTTCAGGAAAAAGTCTTAAAATTTTGATGCACCTAGGTATAATGCACTTTTTGAGTTCAATTGAAATTCATCAGCTGAAAGTTACGCAAAGAGCACTCTCCAAATACGAACGTGAACTTGGCTCAAAAAAACGAACGATTTCTAGTTTCGAAAGTCGAATTTATTGTTAAGATTTCCAAGCGTATTAAAAAAACTTTACCTATTGATCCAGTTTTCTCAAGTTGGGTCCATGTTGTCAAAAAAGCGCCAATCATAAATTGTTCTAGAAATTCAAAGAGCTTAAAGGGCAGATGTTTTTTTTCTCTGAAATTCGAAAGTTGAGATTTTTCAAGAAAGTCAGTGTTTTATGTTTACTTGCGTTCATTACTCTTTTCCAATCTCCGATTTGCTATGTTTTTAACCAGGTGCACAACAACAGTTATCGTGGAGAACTGAACAGATCTTTGTTGGAGCTTTCTTTTAAGGAGAACCCTCTTAAAGAGAGTTCAACTAGACTGCTAGTATATCAGGGCAAAGCATTGAATATGTCGACTGCACTGTCATTGGTCGCGAATAGTTTTTGGTAAAAGAAAATGGTGGCATACTATAATTTGGGAACGGTTTTGTTCTGTGGGATAATTCGACACGCATAAATAATTCGCTTTCACTTAAGCATTATGAATAAAATAGTTGAAGCGCGCATAAATTAATCCAGAGTACGGTCAAACTCGCTATTTTCCAACTCCCATAACTTCGCAAAAAATGCTTGGAGGTAAAATATTTTTCTATATTTTGATTCAGAGAGTTGAAAACTTACTTCGATCGCCAAAAAATGACTAAAAACTACGCCAAGCATAAATGTTCCGTTTTCTTCGAAAGTCCGAACAAAAATCTCATGGAAATAGTGAAAATTTCTAAGTAACCAAATAAGTCTAGGCCATTAAATTTTATATTGACCGATTTCAAAATAAGCAGATTGTTGATGCGTATATTGCTGAATATTCGGTGACCGGCTTACACGCATGCGTGCTGATTGGAATGCGGCTATTGCCGCAATAGGAATTGAGATTCTTTTATTTGCAGACTGCTGCATGCCGCACTAAATAAAAATTTTTAATTGCACATGCTAAGATGCACATTTAAGTCGCTACGCCCCCGAGTTTTCAAATAGCCAGATCAAACACTGATGGGAAATAACTTTCTATTTCACAGATCAAAAACTATTCAGCGAATAAGAACTTCTAATGATTCTGATTGGTTGAAACTTACAGCATTGGGTCCCTTCATCATGAAAACAGTCACCGTGAATTCCTTAGGACAAATTAAAGGTATTTTTACTTTTATGAAGGAACATGATTTTCAATTTTTATTCAGTTTTCATCTTTTAAAACGCAGAACTGGAAACTCTTTTTAAGCGCAAATGCAACCTGGTGGTTTTCTTGGTAATCGTTTTTCGAGTTGGTTTCTGTTTTTTTAAAACAGTTTGTCGTTCTTGGTTTTGTTGATAACTAATAAATTGTTTCATATGGTTGAATTGTTATGCGCTACCTACTCCTCAAAAAGTTGTTCTGCAATACCAAATATAACGACAGAATTCAGAGTCGCCACGTTTGAAAACGAGGCCTTTTTTACTGAGTGTTATAAAACATCAGGATTGTAACATCTTTTAAGAAATGAGTCGCTGTAAAGTTGTTTATTTTAGTGGGCTGATGAAAGATTTGCAGCTATTGTTTTGCATCCGATATTCGGGGGTCAAAAATTGATCCAATTGGCAATGAAAACAAGACTGTTCGTATCAGGGCAAATCCCTGAAAGTTCCGACTGCATTTTAAGGTCTATGGAGCAGTAATAACGTGAAGACGCTAAAAGTAATAAAAAGTAAACTGAAGATTATTTTAATAAAAATTTAAATGTAAGAAAATAAAATGAAATTTTTTTTCTACAACTTGAAATTTTTTTAAGTAAATCATCACCCCACACGCCATATTATGTACAAAGTGATAAATTTCGCTCGTACTAACAGTTAAGTTAAGGCAAACAATCTTGCTTCAACTAATTTGGAACGATTTCTAGGACGGATTAAATATCAGCTTACGCATTAATAGCGCGAAATATATCGCGCGTTTTTGTCCCAAAATGGCGATCTTTAAACACCCTTAACTTAACGATCAATGAAGAAATATCGTTTCGAATTTAAGCTCAGGACAACAATACCCTATGAATGATTTAAAAAAATCCGTCAAAAATGGCTAGTTAAAAAGTCGAAATTTGTCTGAAGAAAAAAACCCACCCCGAGCACAAATATTCCGTTACTTTCGTATCGAAAGTCGGAACCAAAACCATTATTCAGAGAGTTAAAATGTTCATGTAGAACTGTTTTGAAACCTTTTAAATGTATCAAAATGTTTTGATTTATATTTTAAATAACCCTGACAGACATAAGTATCACCAATTTAAACTCGATTAGCTGATTTAAATAGACACAGTAGTTTAATTTGGACTGCAGTTGAAATAATGTAAAAATTATCAAGAATAAACAGGTTTATTATGGCTGACTTTATGGGAGTTAAAATATAGGGAGGGGCTCATGAAATAGGGGTTAAATTGACATGTGGTAAAACTTGAGTAGAAAAAAATACTAGTAATTGGCTAGTAATTGCGACTCAAAAACGGATTGCCTGTGCGTTGATCTTTATTTGAATTTTTTATGGGCGAAAGGTGAGTTAATTTTGGTCGAGCGATTCAATCAAGCCATTGAACTGCAATGCTTCTTTCTGAAGGTCTCTGTTGAAGACAAGATTTTTGAAAAGAATTTTTTAAGATAAGTTTTTTTTGTATTTTGAAAAAAACTGTTACGGTTGCTAAAATTATCAATCCGTTATGCATGTTCGAAAATGATTTCGATAATTTTTGCGTATTCATCGTTAAATTGAAAATGAACTTTATATTTTAGTTTTGACGATGGACATAATAATGTAAATGTTCTCCAAAACTGTTCTCCAACTCTTTGACTGCTATTCTTAACTTGATTTTTTTGAGAATCGCATATGCACATTTTAATTGATAATTTTGCTGTGATTCAGAACTTTCAGATTTACTAACTATTTACACAATGTACAAAATAAAACAGGCGCCATTCCCTGAGAATAGTTGGTCATATCAGCAGCTGATTATTCAACAGAATTTTCGTCTTCGATATCGTAATCCACGGTTGGAATTCCAGGAACCTTATTGTTTGACGAACTCGACACTCGTCTCGGTTTTTCTTCTGGTACCACTTCAGTTTTTTCGTCCTCGCTCTCGTCGAAACGAGTGGACTGTTCGGGTCCAACCATATCCGAAAAGCTCGGGTACTCCTTCCTTGTTGATGGGTTTTCGCCATCACTGACGTGGGATTGTCGCATTTGAAATTGGCTGTACTCGTTGTCTATTGGCTTATCGTCGCCCACCTGAAAAAAAATTATATGCGTTTTTTTTTTACAAATATGTATGCTCAGCAAAACTAGATTATTTGCTCAAATGCAAAAATTGATTTTCCGCGCAAATTTACAAAGAAAAGGCAGGTCGGAAGTTTTGGAACTGTTGTCTCTCACTTAACCAACGAGCTAGTTGCGAGTCGAACAATCAACCTCTTGATTCCGAGGCAAAGATAATCAGGATCTTCACTTTTGCTCCCCGGATAAACTTGAGATGCAATATCAGTTGCCGCTAATTGAAAACTAAATTACTCTTCATAAAAAAAAACGTAAAATAAATATCGACGCTCTTATAACAATAAAAAATTGATTGGAGCTCAAATTTTTTGATCTGCAATTTTGCCAGCGTAAACTTTGACCGCTTTTCTGACATGTAAATGGTGACTTACATAGTAGGATCTGCCTGTTGAACCGATGGTGCTGATTCCACCCTCAGTTTCCCAGTCGTATTTGAGGAAACAGTAGACGACTGTGACCACAATGACGATGAGAAGAATCGTCACGATCAATGAGTAGACGATTAAGAAGATCATCCAATTGCCTGAAGCAAATTTTATCAAACGTAAAATAAACAAAAAATGTAAATTTTTATGGTAATTAAAATCGGTTATGTTTAAAATGTTAGAAGTAAAATTTTGCTGTGGAAATTGAATTATTTCAATAAAACAACGATATTGGTTTGAGCTTTTAAACTGAATGGGTAGAGTTGGAAGTTCATTTAGAGAGGGGCCGCCATATCCATTCCCGCCGCACAAAAGCCTCCTATTGAATCACTTTACTACTTTCCTTTTTGACAAGGCAACCTTTTAAAGCGGCTTTGCAGCCAATAATTACTGTTTTGATGGTACAATGGTTGGAAATAAATAGATTTGAAGGGAGCGCTTTTAGAGAAAATCAAAAAATCTTAGAAAAGTAATGTGAGTTTTTTTTCGAATCTTGGAAAGTTTTCAATTTTATTATGAATGCAACAATAGCTGTAGTTTACTGAAGATATTTATATATTTTTTCCAAGTTAAGTTTGTCTTTCTTCTCCCAGCAAACACAGCGCAATTTTTTAAAAACATTTTTTTTTGTTTATTACTGGTCAAGGCCTGTGCTACTTGCACGGGAAGGGGCTATCTTTATTATGTTTCTTGTCATTGTAATTTTTGAGTGTACAAAACAGTCCGATACAAAACATTCCGAAAAATTTTCTCAATTAATAATAACTTTCCAGCAAACAAAGCAGGTTGGCCAGAGTTGTCGTTTGTTCAAACAACATAAACAACAAAAATTTTAATGTTGTAGTCGCGCCAACGTGTTGCGAGCTTGCCAACAGAGGGTAGGACTCTATACGAAAAGTAGACCCAGTTATCGCCGCGAAGCGGCGCGCGTCTACCAGCACCTTAAACCGGACTAATTTACATATTTTGTTGGTTTGTTTCATGACTGTTTTTTAGATTCGTTTCATGATTTGTTGGACTTTTTTTATATTGGACGGTTTTTTATGGGACCGTTTTGTCTATGCACCGTAATTTAACCCACTTTGTTCGCGCTTAAATTAATGACGTCATTATAGCGCGAAAGTGAAAAAGCTAAAATTAGATTTGCTTAGACAAAAGGCCTTGAAAACTACTGGTTTGTCCGATTAAGGTCAGTTTGCCATCAAAATGTTTATAGATTTTTGAGATTGTTGAAAAACCGTATGATAACATGTTAACCGGAAGATGTTTGCCTTATTTTATATTATCTTTATATTGTCATATTATCTGTTTAAATTGCCGATAATTTACAGATGTTGAACCAGGTTTTTTAGATCTTACAGGATACGAGAGTGCGCCACATTTTGGTCCGCCGACCCGGACCGTATTCTAGACATTAGATATTCTGGACCGTATTCTGGACATTAGATATTCTGGACAGTATTCTGGACGATATTCCGGACGATATTCGTACACCCGGACACTTTGAAAGTGCTTCTTGATCGGTGCAGACGGCCATTTTGAGCAGTATTTTTGGAACCTGAGAGATAGCCAACGAGAACCCAAACCCAATTCTACTTGGTTTGCCCATCTCAAACAGCTAAGTAACTTGAGCCGAAAATCCTCGAGACAATTCATCGCCTCTGTAGCTTATCCATTCACACAACTTCACTCATTGCATGAGAGAGCGAGCCAAATTCCCTTTTGATAAAGTCAACACTCTCAAGCAGGTTTTGACAGGAGAGAGCGGATACAATAATCTTCCGAAGCCAACCCCCCAAGGGCCAGTTAGACAAAGCAGGCACCCAAGTTGGGGCTGTCCCGGACACAAAAGACATCCGTTTTTTGTGAACATCCATATTGGAGGTGGAAGTGGTTAGTGAGACGGATGAACTTTTGGAGGGAGACCTGATTGTGGATTGTGGACATCCGTTTTTTGTGGACATCCATATTGAAGTGTGGATTGTGGACCCATTTTTTCTCGACACCCGAAGTTTCTGTGGAATTTGGATTCTACCGGTGAACGCCTCTACAAAACTTGTAAGACTAAAAAACCAAAACTTTATCCATTTGTGCTAACTTGATCTGATGCTTTAAATTCTGATACGAGGTTTTTTGATGGCAAAATCGTAGCCCCCAATTTTTCTCGATACCAAAACCTGATCAGAAAATTTTCTGTGGGTTTAGGAAAAAACCGGCCTCATAAACCTTAATTACGTTATCCTAACACCTTGTTTGTAAGCTCAACACCGTATCGAAAAAAAAAGACCAAAAATTTTGAAAAAAAAAAAATTGAAAATTTTTGATTTTTTTTTCCAAAATTTTAAAGTTTTGCAAATTATTCAGCAAAGCGCCTAGTTTCATAATAATTTAATTTAAACGACCGAGTCGAGTTTTTTGCCCCAAGTTTTGGACTTTAAAAAAAAAAAAAAAAAAATTCAAAATTTCGCAAACGCATCAGGTTATTGTTGGAACTTGAAACGTTGGGTGAAAACGTGGAAAAAATTTTCGGAAAAAAAATCGAAAAAAAAAAAATTTTGGAAAATTTTCGGAAAAAATCCGAAATTTTCGAAAAAAAAAAAAAATTCTGAAAAAACGCCGTGTTTATTCTTGAAACGTGGTGCAGCTAACTAAACTAGTTCAATTGGATAAAAGTAGCCGTAGTCGAGACCCGTAGCGTATTATTAAGCAAATCGTCTTACCTTTTGCTACAACCTTGTTAGCTCAGGGTGTTGCGGGAGGTCAGGTCGCGGTTTGCTTGATTCCCTCCCTCTTAAGTTGATTTAAATCATTAAATGTTCATACTAGCTGCTAGCTCGCTGCACCACGCTTTGAAAAAACTTTCCCCCGCTTCGCAAAAGCGTGTATCTCAATCGTGTTTAGCCATTCCCGGGTTAAGTTTCAACCATAACGCAGTGAACGTCCGTAAAACTTGTCAGTATCAACTTGATCACTATCTCTTAAACCGAACCGACATTGTTATTTGGCACGACGCTGTTATTAACTCTATTAGTCGACACCGTAGTAATAACTTTAACGCACTAACTCCTAACCAGCTTAAGAAGATTCTTTTAAACTATAAACGTAATATTTATGCAATCGTTTACTGTAAACGTGTAGGCACGGAAGATATATATATAGTAAGTTGAAAGAGTCAGGTATATTAGTTATTAACATAGTAACAGACCTGATATCTAGAAGGAAGCAGAACCTCACTGAGTTAGGACAAAAGTACTTAGAACTACACCAGGATCCCTCTCTAGAACTGAAAACGTTTACGATCCTTAGGCGTTATAGCAAGAATTTGAAGTATATTATTTCAAAGAAAAATACTCCTAAGCCAGGAAAACGCAAGCGGCAAGCTAATCGAAACAGAAAAAATGCTGAGCAGCACTAGGAAATAAATAAATTGCTTCTCTAAGGTGTGATATTGTTTAATGAGTCAGAATATAATTTATCAATACTAAATATAAGGTCTTAAATTAATTATTCCCTTTTTTTTCTCTCAAACTGAGCAGTTGAGCGGTTGAGTAGAAGTGAACAAGTTTAAAAGTAATCAAAATGACAGAACAAATTGAGTTAAAATACCGACGATTGATGAATGGTCGAACATCACTAGAAAATGAGCTTTCCGTAGTTCACAGTCGCATAACTGAGAGTTAGAGGGACCAATTCGGAAAACAAAAATAAACGCTTTAATTGAATCTTGCGAGAGTATTCTCGAAAAAGCATTAGCTAAAAATGATGAACTTGTGATATTAGCTAATAAAACCGATAACCATAGCAAATTATTAACGGAGTTGGCTGCATGGTGGGATAGGATAGTTAAAGTTAACGATGAAGTAACTGGTAAGGCTCGCGCTCATATGGAATCTAATCAAGCTTCAGAGGTCTGCGTCAGTGAAACTAGTCGATCAAAAGTTTCATCAAAATCGGCAAAATCCGGGTCTAGTAAGCAAAGTTCAATGAAATCATTGACTCCCAGTGAGCGCCGCAAAGAGCTGCTCGTAGCGAAGATGAAGCGAGAAGAGTTGGAAAAACAACATGAAGCAACCTTAAGACTGAAACAACAGGAAGCCATCATCAAAGAGCAACAGCATTTGATTGAGATGGAACGAAAACAACAAGAAATTAAATTTGAAATTGACCGTAAAGAGCAAGAACATCGTTTACGAATCGAAAAAAGTCGGCTTGAAATGGAACGATTAAGCGAAGAAAATCGTATTAAAGTAGCTGAAGCAAAAATGGTTGAAACTGAATACCTCGAAGAGTCTGAAATAGATCAGCATCTCGAGCTGGCGTCTTCGGTTGATCGTCGTTCTGACAGGGTAAACGATTGGGTTGATCATGCATTAGAAAACCAAAAAGGACCCAAGGTAGTTCCGTCTTCTTCAAAGTTTGAAAACTGTATAAATATAGAAAGTGGTTCGCATCAACACAGAAATGTGTCCACAGCGGAAGCTTCACCTCGGCGATCGTTGCCGAATCGGACTTTTGATTGTGATCAACAATGTTATCCCTATCAACCAACCGTCTCCTTCAGCGATGGCGATGGAATCAAGCACGCTGTATCCACTAATCCTGAGCACGAAACGCAGTCGTTGCTTATTTCCAATAACGCTACACTTTGCGAAAACAATACATCATCATTTTTTAATCCAGCTGGAACAGCAGCTACCAATACTCCGGTATGCTGTTACTTCTCTGTACCTCATCCTTCGTCTTCCATTCAACATATCCCCGTCAACAACTTCAATAACGATTCCCGAGTTGTTGGAAACATGCCCGCCATCTCCAATCAATACTCTGGATACACCCCCCATGCCATTGTGTCACAACCACCTGCAAATTTAATCTGCAGAAATCAAAACTTCCTATCACATAACGTGTATAGCAACCCTGCGTCAGTGAACAATCCGTTTAGCGGACAGTCTGCCGTTATTAGTCAGCCCAACTTGCCACTAATGTCACAGTGGACACCCGCAGTCACCCAATGTATCACTGGGGTAACAAGTGATGGTAACACAAACCCATCAGTTGGTGTTTTTTCATCCGTAACGCCAATATCTCAGCAACAATT